GGAGAAAACAGTGCAACAATGAATGAATGAAAACCCCAAATCTCTGTAAATGTTCATTAAAACTAATAAAATTTTAAAAAAAGACAAAACTATCTAATTATTTTTTTATGATCCATACAGTCAAATGCTTTTGCAAAGTAAATAAAACAGACAAATATCTTCCTGGTACATTCTGCTCTTAGTCAAGATCCATCTGACAGGTTGACACACACACAAAAAAAGATCCATCTGATATTAGCATTTATATTCCTCATTCTAAACACTCTTGTGAATCCTACTTTAATTCCTGGTAGTTCCCTGTCAGTGTACTGTTTCAACAGTTTTTTAATTCAGAAAAATTTTACTTGCATGTGATATAGCTTATCTTGTTCAATAATTTCCACATTCTGCTGGATCAGCAATTAGGTAACCAGATAGTTCTCTTTCAGATTTCTTGGCACAGATGAGTGGGTTCTTCCAGTCTGTGCAGCATCCATTTGTTGAAACATCTCAATTGAAAGTCCATCAGTTTCTGGTGCATCACTTTTCAATAATATTTCCAGTGCAATACTTTTGGATTTCTTCCTTTGACATCATCCATTCTTGATCATATGCTACTTCCTGAGATCTCCAATACACTAAAACCACTACCATCAAGTCAATTCTGCCTCAATGTGACCCAAGTCACTATGGGAGAGTTAGAGCTGTCCCAAAGATTCCAATCTTTATGAGAAGCAACGAGTAGATTCAAACCACTAAAGTTTTGATTAGTAACACAGTGCTTCACTCACTGTGTCACAAGAGCCCCTTTGAAACTTTAATTTTTGTTGTTGTTGTTAGGTGGCATCGAGTCAAGTACACTCAGAAATCTCATGAACAGACCTGAACCCTGTCCTATTCTGGTGCCATCCTCACCATCTCTAACACACTTGAGTCCATCGCTGCAGCCACTTGTCAACCAACTCAGTGAGCGTCTTTCTCTCTTGTGCTGACTCTCTGCATTTCCAAGCATGATATCCCATTCCAAGAAAGAGCCTCTCCTAGCATCCTGCCCAAAGTATGAGAGATGAAGCTTCACCATCTTTGCCACCAAGGAGCACTCTGGCTGCACTTTTCCCAAGACACATCTGTTCTTTTGATCGTCCATGGGATATTCAGTACTCTTCTCCAACACCACAGCTCAAAGACATCAATTCTTCTGTCTTCTTTATTCATTGTCTAGCTCCCAGATGTGTAACAAGTGATTGAAAAGTCCATGACTTGAATCAGGTGCATCTTAGTATTCAAACTGATGTCATTGCTCTTCAGCATTTTGGAGAAGTCCTTGACAGTGGACTTGCCCAGTGCAATATGTCTCCTGGTCTCCTGACTGCTGGTACCAAGGGTGTTGATTGTTGATCCAAGCAAGATGAAATAACTGACAACTTCAATCCTTTCTTTATCTACCATGAGGTTGCCTACCGGTCCATTGATGAGGATTTCTGTTTTCTTGATGTTGAAATGCAATCCACACCAAAGGCTGTAGTCCTTGATCTTCTGCAGCAAGCATTTCAAGTCCTCTTTATTTTCAGCAAGCACAGTTGTTATCCTCTGCATGTACTTACTTTGTTGTTGTTATGTGTTAAGTTGCTTGCGACTCATAGCAATACTATGTACAAAAGCTCTGAACCCTGCTCCACCCTGAGCTAACCTTATTGTGTCTGACACACCTACTCCCACTATCCCAGGCGCTGAGTTAATACTTTCTTTAGGGAGATAGGAATAAAAAACTACTAAAAAAAAAATATATGACTTCATACTCACTAAAATGGTTATCTAAAATAATGTAAAACAATGATGTTGACAATGCCAAGAAATTGGACCCCTTATCAATTGCTGATGAGATTATAAAATGGTACAACCACTGGGAAAAAAGTTAAACATTTAATTCCTGTTAAAATTCATTACTGTCAATTCAGAAGTCATGGCTATCTTCCACTGGGTTTCTGAGGCTGTAAATCACTCAGGAGGAGATTACTCATCTTTCTGGTAAATTAAAATTGCAGGAGAGCATCAATCTTTGTAGGTTATCAGTGTAACTTCTTATGGACAGAGTTCCCTATAATTTCCATATGGTTCAGTCCACTCCAGATATATGCCCAAAGAATGAAAAGCAGAAACACAAACATATTATCTGTACATCAATGCCCATGCAGCCTTATCAGCCATAGACAAAAGGTGGAAACTGCCCAAATGTCCATCAACAGACACATGACCAAAACATATTACATACACTGAATGGAATAGTTCTCAGCCATAAAGAGAAATAAAGTCCTGATACTATAGATGAACCTTGAAAATATTATGCAGAATGAAAAAAGTCAGTCACAAAGGACAAAGATTATATGGTTCTACAGATGTGAATTATCTGAGAGGCATGAGGATGGAGACTGAACAATAAACAGGCCTATCGCAAACAGAAACACCAGAGAGCCTCACTCCTGTAACCATATATGGTCAAAAGAGCAGGATCTGTCCAAGCCCTGAAGTCAGGAAGAAGCAGGCTAGAAGGATTAATGGTGAAGAGGAAGTGGGAAAAGTGTGTGATTACACTGTAGTCTTGTAATTAATGTTATGAAATAAAATGTGTATCAATAAGTGAGTGAAAAACTAACATTTTTTGTAAACTTCCACACAAATCACAATAAAAAACAAAAATATTAAAAAGAAAAAAACTAAAGAAACAAATATCCTAAGTGTCCTAATACAGAAAATGGGATAGTGAACAGAGACACCAGTCTATAAAATTGTTCCATTAAAGTCGCTCCTTTAAAAAAAAATTGCTCCTTTAAAATTGTTACCATTAAAACAAGAGGAACATTTGGAACTGAGATGATAACAAAGACACAAAAGTCCTAGAGATGTGAGAATCAGAGGGGAAAAATGCAGAAGATAAGAATCTCTTTCCTCAGTGATAAAACCAGTCAGTCTGGGCTCCCAAGGCAGAGGCAGGAGGATTCCTTGGAAAATGTAAAACTATGTAACCAAAAATTTTTAAAGAGAAACTCCCATGGTCCTTATTTAAACCAACAGTCAAGTAGAGGGAAATGTAGAATAAAACTAAAAACCATTTCATATACCAATGTTTACTGGTTTAAGAGTGGTAGCACCCCCCACCCCCCAAGCCTTTAGTCACCCTTAGAACCTGGAACAAAACAGCACAACTCTCAGTTTATATCCTGCCCCTTCCAGCCTCATGAGCTTTATTCTTGGCCAAATGCTGCTTTTTTGACTCTAGAGTTGGTTGTTCTAAGGAGTGAGTATTTCTCTGGTTTTATTGTTCAAGTTACAAGTCTGTCATTGTTTGACTGAGAGTAACTTGAACAATAAAACCAGAGAAATACTCACTCCTTAGAACAACCAACTCTAGAGTCAAAAAAGCAGCATTTGGCCAAGAATAAAGCTCATGAGGCTGGAAGGGGCAGGATATAAAGATTGAAGGAAACGAAAATTACAGGGAAAAGTTTGGAAGTGTGGTATTGGTATTGTAATTAAAGTCATAAAACAAAATGTATATGAATAGCTGGATGGAAAGCAAATACTCTGTAAATTTTCACTCTAAATCACAATAAAATTAAATAATACATCAATGGTTAAGCTAAATCTTACTTTTTTTCCTTCTTCCATTTCGGACTCCATTTCTTCTTTCTCTAAGTCAGGCTCAGAAAGCATTAAGTCTAGAACAGAAGGGGGGGGGGGAAGATAGTCTAAATCCAGTGCAGTGGTTGGTGAATTAATGACTCTGATCTCAAATAACCATTATTTTCACTCCACCCTTTCTTTGTATCAACGATATTTTTCACCATAAAACATGATCCTAGATTCTGGATCAACCCTTTCAAAGTTCACCACTATTCAACATGTACCTTCTCTCCCCACTTCTTTTGTTTATTCTTTCCACCTGTCCATCCATCCCTTCCAGATACTTGGTCGATTATACACATTCACAAAGGGAAGCCTACAGAATTCAGAACTAAGCTGATGATATTGGACGTAAGACAAAGAAAAGCTTCAGCTGCTGCCTTCACACTGGAATCTCTCCTCTCCCTCTTCACTGTATCAGTCATCCATTTATCCCACCTTTTCCTTCCTCGGTACTGTCAAATCCATCGTATCGGCTGTGAAAACCAAACAAGTTCACCCGTTCCTGAGGGAAAAAACCAAAACATCATCTACCTTAGGAAACATAGTTTCCTCTCAAGATATATTTTTGCTATCTGTCTTCTAAATTTTAGCAATAAAGAATTTTGTTTCCATCATTTTCACATTAAGCTAACCAGAATTATTATGGATAGTAATTATCTTTTACTAATATAATTCAATGCATAGGTTGTTGTGGTTGTTGTTATGTGCCATTGAGTTGCTTGTGACTCATGTACAACAGCCCTAAACTCTGCTCTATCCTATGTCAATCTTATTGTCTCTGACACACCTACCCTGTTACCCCAGTCACTGAATCAATCCATCTCATCAAGGGTCTTCCTCTCCTGCGCTGTCCCTTCACCCTCCCAAGCATAATGTCCCCCTCCAAGGACAGGTCCCTCCTTGTAACATGTCCAAAGTACGTCAGACAAAGCTTCAGAATCCTTGCCACCAAGGAGCATAGGTGAGAAGAAAAAAAAAATCTGTTATTCTTCACCCTACTCCACTCTCAAAGCAGAGTTTGAGGGTAAAAACTCTTTGTATAAAACAAAGGTTAGGCCTTAAACATCTGAAACTCAGAGTTTCAGGGAGATAGGATGTCCCTTCCACTAGACTGGTCCTGTCTGGGCTAACAAAATGATCCTATTTGTCCAAGGGCAAGGAAAATACTGGATGGGTTAAGGTGTCAATGGAATGTGGCCTGGGAAGGAAAGAATAGTATCAGAAGGCCAAGGCTGTAATAGGGAAAGACAATTTGGTTTTCTGCAATGTGGTGTTTATGCTTTACTTTGTGTCCCAGGTTTCAGAAAGGAAAGGGTATGTAGGCCTGAACACTCCCCCACCTGAATGCTGATCTGTTCTGCTGCCTGAGCCATCAGGAGAGCTGCCTTGAGTTTCTGGCTGAAGTCCTTGTTCTTGAACTTTTTCTGAAGTGAAAGATCAGAGTCAATGATAAATATTTACTTAAAGATTAGAGTCAACACATCCACAAAACTTACAGAAAACTCCAACGCCTTATGTGGTGCTGTGAGTCTGTTGTTCAAGATGGCTTTTCCAGGCCATTGCCCTTGATGACTGGGCACGTGACTGGGAGGAAACATGACACTAGGAGAGGTTCATCTATCCAAAAGGGGACTAACTAGTTTTGCCATTCCACCAGGTTTAAATTGAGCAGGTTCTGCAGCAGAAATTTGCTCATTACTAGCAAGAAGGAAGCAGGTAATGCTTTTGAAGCCAGAGATTCCTGCGTCAGTTAAACTAGGGACTGTAAGAGGGCAGTAGCAGCAGCACCTAACCTGGGACCGTTGCCAGAGTCAGCCAGTAATAGAGCTAACCTGGGACTGCTTCCTCACAGAGCAGGGCCTTTGCCCAAGCTTGATGGAGGCCTAGGGAGGAGATGCCATCATTGGCAGGACTAAAAAAACTTTGCGACTCTGGCCTAAAGCCACAAGGCTGAAGGCTGAAGAGCTATTGAGCACACTTCAGAAGTTGTTTTGACTGAGAAACTGCCAACCTGATTATTAACTTCTCCAATATACATACCCCATAATTATGAATATTGTTCTGTGTGGTCTGTGTAGTTATTGCAGTGGATTTCAGACCCAGTAGAGCAGTTTAACTTAGTATAAAGTGATGTGAAAGTGTGGAAGATACATTTGACCTCATAGGAACTGGCTTTGTGTGTGGATGCTGTTGATGGAGACAGTTCCAAATGGAGTTAGTTAGAGGTCAGACTCAGCCACTCCCTCATTGCTCTCATTCCTTTTATACCTCAACAAGCAAAACCACAAACAACCCAACTACAAAATTAGCAGGAGATATGAAAAGACATTTCAACAAAGAAGATCCTGAGATGTCCAATAAACACACGAAGAGATTCGAGTTCATTAGTTCCTGTTGTTATTTTGTTGTTATGTGCAGTGGAGTTGGAATCAACTCACAGTTGAGCTTCCAGCAGGTTTCTAGAGGCAGTAAATTGCATGGGAGGAGATTCCTCTGGTGGATTTGAACCACATGCCTTAGGGCTGACAGTACAACTTCTCACCACTATGCCACCAGAGCTCCCTGCCAGACCTGTTTTTTGAAGCATCTCCAGGTGAACTTGATATGGCAACTTTTTAGCTGATAGTTGTAGTAGGTAGAGTCCAGAAATGTTTAGTAACATGTTATAATGCACAGCAGTTTCCCATCCCAAAGAAGAATCTAGTCTAAAATGGCAATAAGGTTATAATTGGAAAAATGACTTCGAAAAAAGAAAGGAGACTGAGAAAAAGCATTACTCTGTTATAATCCTGATAGAAAGAAAAACCCCTCATGAATAACCTCACCCTTGACACACTTGGTCAGACATGGGATTTCCCACCAACACAGCTTCCCCTGGGAGAAAATCAAGTTTTAAAAAGGTAGGTTAAATTTTCACGTTTCCTGTATCAAGCACGACTAACTCCAGGTTGCTTACCACTCCAGCCAGCTCCAGGGACAGCTCCTGAAAGTTCTTTAGCATGTTGACTGGGATCCAAGCACGAGAAACAGTGTCTCCAAAAAATGTTATGTGGTACTTAGACTGAAATAAAAGATAGTCCTGTGATGACCTCTTGTCCTCTCCCTGCTCTCAACTTCTAGCCAGAAAAACCAGAGGAAGAACTGAAAATTCACAGTGAAGGAGATACCTGGTCTTATCTGCTCCTTTAAGTCTGACTCACCAACCCAGCCTCATTCCATTTTTCTTCCATTCTGACCTCAGGAATCCTAATCAAGGTATATTTATCAAAATCATAATGTCTTCATAATGGACACTTAATCAGGTACAAATTTGTGTCTCTGTATGAGTACTTACATCTGGGTTTGTCACTCTAGTTAAGTGTTCTTTTTCTGCATGTGGCTGAGAGCTATGTTTGTTTATAACTATACATCTGTTAAAATGGATTTTTCATTACTTTTGCCTGAGACTCCCCCTCCCTTGAACCTCTTATTTCATAAAGAAGATCAACTGTTAAGTGACAGGAAACTTACTGGTAGTGAATCAAGGTGAGAAGCAAAGAGAAAATATTCTCCCAGATCAGGATCAGATTCTACCATGCCTGGCCACCTGATGAAGGGATTGATGCAGTAGAAAGAAGAGTTTGATGAACAGAAAAAAAAAATCATCAATATACATGTACTGAAAGGGACAATACATTGTTCAAACAAAAAGATCCCAGGGGTAGACACCCTGTCAACTCCTTCTAGTGGATGCAACAAACAGCTGAAATGACTTCCATCAATGTACAAAGCAGCTCAGAATCTTTCTAGTAAAAGTATCTTATCCTTCTACATCCTCCCTCGACCCTGAGAATCAAATCTTGTTTTCTTTACAGTGTATGACTCACATCTCAATGCTGGGTGGTTGTTGTGTTTTTTCCCCCTACAAAAGTCATCCTACCTGTCCTATTAGGGAGCCCTGGTGGTTTAGTGGTAAGGAGTTAGACAACCAACCCAGTAGTTTGAAACTACCAGAAGCTTCACATGAGAAAGATGGGCAATCTGTGCAATTCATAGTCTCTGAAAACTCACTGGAGGATCAGCTATGAGTCCCTTCTGACCTGATGCTACCAACAACAACACTTCCAACTTACTGAGTATTATATCATCCGATCCTTATTCCCAGCAGAAAATCACCTCCACCTTACAACCTCTAGAAAATGTGTTGGGACTTTATCTTTCTGCTTACTCCCTGCTACTAAGGCAGGTTCCATTTCCATGAGATGTGCTTTCCATTTTCTCCCCTTCCTCCTTGAATCTACTTATCCCATATACAAGAAGGGAATTCTGACTAGTTCATGGTGCACTACCAGGGGTAACCATATTGCTTAGCCCAGATGATGGATCCTGGGATGTAGGAGGCATAAGCCACATCACTTTCAGGCCCTATCCAGGTCTCCTCAGGAATATCACAGCGATTATACTCCACGTCTGTTGAAAAAGAGAAAGAAGAAAGGAGAAAAAATTTTCATAAGGTAAAAATCTGCATGAGAATAGGGAAAGGCAGAAGATGAAACAGAAAAGGCTCTTGGAGAAGGGTGTGCAGAAGGAAGAGTAAAGATCCATAAAGAAAGTGCCAGTAGAGCCCATCAACAAATGAATGGACAGAAAACCTATGTGACATCACACAATGGAATACTATATGACATTGAAAAACAAGGAAATAGAAAACATTACACAACATGGGAGAGCCTTGAGGACATTGTGCTAAGTGAAATATCTCAGTCATGAAAGGACAAATACTGCATAACACTGTTGTTATAAAATAGGACAGACATGGGGGAGTTGGGGAGGCAATGGGGAGAGTTGATAGACAATGAACACTGCATTAGAACACATGAGTGGAAGAACTGTCCAGAAGGAATATATAATTATGCATTATATGTGTAAAAACAACCTGGAACAAGAGGTGCATTGTGGAGTGGGCTGGGGGGAGGGAAAGGGAAAAGGAGGAGAAAATGTACAACAATGAATTAATGAGAGAGAGAGAGAGAGAGAAGTGTTACTAGAGCCCAGAGATGTAGGAAAACTACTTCTGCATATTCTATAGCAAGTGATTCCAAATATCTGCTCTTATTCCACCCTGTCTGGTTCTGCTTCTAATTAGTACCACAACAGTAACTTCTCTGAGACAGTTTCCTCATCTGGAAAATAATTTAGCTGGTCTCTGTAATGATAAACTCTCTCAATAAAGAGTTTCAAATATTCTAGAATTCTAAACTCACTAGGTCGCTTTCATTTGCTCTTCTCTGTTTATCTCATTATTCTCCCTATTCATTAACCAATGCCAATAATCTAATCAGGACTGACAAAGTCAGGCCAGTATGAAGGAAATGGAATTCATGCATAAGTTTAAGATTCCATCCCTTTTCCCAAAAACTTAACTTTGCTGAATATTTTCCATGCAGAACACTATGCCCAGAATAATTTTGTGTGTGTGCATTTGTAAATTTTTTTATTTTTTTCTTCCTTTATTGATATTTTAACTAAAGTTTATAGAAAACTTGGATTTCCATTCATTCATTGTTGCACATTTTTACCTCCCTATCCTCCACCAGTTGTTTTTCTCTTTAAAAAGATTCTTTCATTGTTGCTCAATTTCTTCCGTCCCCCAACCCCTCAGTCCATTTTGCTATGCACCTCTTATTCTGGACTATTGTCATGCAAATAATACATAATCATATATTCCTTTTAGACAGTTCTTTCCCTCATCTGTTTCAATGCAGTGTTCATTATTTATCTCCTCTTTTCTTAAGTTTCCTGCCCAGAATAAACTTGATATGATAGAAAGATTCCTCCCTCTCTTCCAAGGGTACGAGGACCATCTCAGTGGTAAAGACACATAGGTAATATTCCATCTAAAGGATAGAGAGAGAGAGGAAGAAAGGAAAATTAATAAAATGTGGGGGCAAAAAAACCCAACCAAACATTTCCGCTCCATTCTACCTGTATTCTGATCACAAGACCAATTTTCTGGGAGAATAGAAGGGTCAATGTTCCCTCGTAGCTGCCTCCATTTTTCACAGTTTGGAGAAGAACACTGGACCCAGACTAGACAATGACCTGTGATGTGGGAGGGGTAAAAATAGAAATGAAAGACTTTAAAGTGTGTTCTTTCTTCTACAATATGTTGTTGTTGTTAGGAACCATCAGGTCGACTACAACTTATAGTGACCTTAGAAACAACAGATCTGAACATTCCCTATCCTGCACAATCCTCATGCTCTCTGATATACTCAAATCCATTGTTACAGTCACCAGTCAATCCATCTTGTTTTATAGGTAAAATTAATACACTTTTTCCTTCCACCAAATCATACAGGCACATAAACCCTTAGATATCAGCTAGGCTAATCCTGGACTTAAAAATGGAAAACTAAGATTCAGGGAAGACAACAGACTAGATGAAAATCAGTCCACTGGTGGCAGAACTAGATTGAGAATTCAGGTTTCATATCCCAATTCTTCTTTTTATTATTATTATTTTGTGTGTCTGTGTACCGTCAAATCGGATCTGACTGGTACAGGAGGAGATTGTCCCTCCTTTCCCGGCACAGCATCTGGTGGATTTGAACCATGCACCTCTAGAATTGCAGTGCAGCTTTTTGCCACTAGGCCACCAGAGCTCCCCTCCCAATTCTTCTTCTACATCAAGAACGAGGTTTGGTCTCTTCCCTCCTAGTGTCTGGTTCTCTGTCATGATTGAAAAGTTCTTTTTGTATACAATGTACAGAGTTGTTATCTAAATAACTGATTTGCTAAATGATCAAGCAGTAATTTTTAGGATTAAAAAGCTCACTATTCTAAAAAAGATCCATTAATCTATCATTTCTCAATCCAAACATTCCTTTTATCCATTACCTTCCAAACTCCCACACTCTGAATATTCCACATCCTCTAAGCTGATCCAAGGTCCTATCCAGCCTCAATCCTCTGGACTATCTCAATTTTCAAGCCCAAGAAAATTTTCCAAACCATAACCAAACTCACCAAAACCACCACTCTCTCCTTTTTGTGGTTCCTTGATCTGAGGACAATTTGGAATAATGTTCTTTGTTTGTTCTTCCTGTTCATGTTCCAATTCCTCATTTTCTACAAATACAAGACAAAAACCAGAGGAAGGGCTGAAAAAATAATTTTATAGGCCAGAAAAAAGGAAGAATCTCAATAGTTAGTTTCAAGCCTTCAACTGAAAATTCTCAGCCTTCCTACTGTCACTTTCCCAATTTCCCAATCTTCCCACTTGGGCCAAATGGCTAAATAAATATATTGGACCATACTCACGCGCTCCCTTCTTTCTTTTGTTTAAGGAGAGTCTTTTGAATTTTTTCTCAGAAAATGCAGGATCTAGCTGGTCTGGCTTAGATTCATTTACCTTGGGGACAACTTCATTTTGCTGAGACGCTGGAGTATGAGGTACAGTTAGCTCGTCTCTGAAAAGGAGAAATTATTTTTGTTTCTTTAGATAGAAAGGAGAACTTTGCAGTACTCTTCTTCTGAACAACCCAAGAGTAAAAGTGAAGTTGTTGTGGTTATTGTTGTTAAGTGCCATCGAATCGAGCAAAACTCATAGCAACCCTATGATCAAAAGACCTGAATCCTGTTCTAGAACTATTGTCATTTCTCTAAGTTCATAGGGTTTCCAGAGGCAGGTTGTTTAGGAAGTGGATGCCTCTCCTGTTTCCAAGCCTGTGTTAATCTGGGAGCTCCACCAAACACTGTTCACTATGAATACCATTATGGCATCTGACATACCAGTAGCAGTGCAACCCCAAGTTATCTAAGTAAAGGGAATTGACAGACCAGTCCTAAACCACTTAGAAGAATGTTCATTCCAAACACAGTTAACACTAGGCCTGACTTAAATACCCAGGCACCGATTGGCTCTAAATAAGAGGTTACCAGCCCACAGCTCATTGTTAGCCAAATTCAGCAAATCCAATCAGCTCTCACATGGTTGAGAATGCAATATAAACAACCAAACAGTCCACAGCTGATCCTCGACCAAAACAAGAAGAACCCACCTTTCAGAATCAAATGGCTTTGCACATGAGCCTCCAAGGTCAAGACTCATTCAGGACTCAGTAAACTTTTAAATACCCAAGCCCTCTACCAGGTCCTGACTGGATCTAAACAAGAAGCTACTAGCTCACAGCTCATTGTTAAGAGAAGGAAAACAATCTTTGGCCCTCTAAAATTTCCTTTTATCAACCTATTTGCTTACTTTTCACAATTTAAATAGGCATCTTTGCAGAGAAAAGAATAGCTAAATGGAAAGCTCAGGATTTACCAATACTAAGTCCACTCTGTGATCAATTCACCTGAGGGGGTATAAACTTACCCATCAGTATTATCATTATCAGCAGTAATAGAAGCAATTCCTGGTCCCTTAGCTGTCTGGATACATCCTACACGCTGGGCACAAGATGTCTCTGAAAAACGAAGGCCAGATCCTACCCCTTCCCAAATAAAATATTATAAGCAGAGAAGTAATAAAAGAAAACACTCCCTTATTTCCTAATTTTCTTTTTCTAATCGTTTCTTTCCTATAAATATGTCCCACCCTTGGCCTGGAAAAATCTTTTAGCCTCTTGTCACAGAATTTTAGATCTAAATTTTAAGACCCAACTACAAATCTACATTTTTGTATGGATTTTCAGATTCATGTGTGTCATTGCAGGATAGTTAGATAATGCTAATTTATTTTGTGCTGCTGTTGTTAGGTGTTGCTTAGTTGACTAGGACTCATAGTAATTCTATGAACAACAGAGCAAAACTCTGCCCTATATTTCAGTGTCCTTAAAATCTTCATCATGCTCAAGAGTTTTATTTTGTATGCATAATGAAAATCATATGTACTGTGTTTTATATAATTTTTTCCTTATATTCTGTCTAGCAGTACAAATACACCCGACAGTGGTGAAAAATGTCTTTAACTTCATGACCTTGGGAGAAAGTCTCAGTGCCTACAATACAGAGTTCTTTACCCTAAAAATCAAATGCCTGTTGTTTTCTGTCATCGATCAGAATTAATTGCCCATCTTTCTCCTGCTAAACTGATGGTAGATTTGAACTAGGTGCTCTGGGCTATGGGTTAGCAGTACAACTTTTTACCCACCAGACCAGCAGAGTTCCAATCTCTAAGAATACACTAAAATGGTATTAGATATACAAAAGTAAATGGAGACTGTTCTCTAAGTGTGAGAAAAATAATTTCTCTTTTCTAAGTAGTTTGCAACATATAGCAATGCATTTAAATGATTCTGAAGCAAGAATTTAAGGAAATATGTCACTCACTGCTGTTAAGGTCTAAACTGACTCAGCTGACCCTCCAGCAGGTTTCTGGAGGCTATAAATCACAGGAAGGAGGCTGTCCATCTTTCTTTCTCTGGGTTGTTGGTGGATTTGAACCGTCAAAGACAGTACCTTTGAGTTAGCAATGCAACTCAACTCCCTAAGGACTATACCACTAAAGCTAAGCAAATATGTTGCTATTATGTACTACCAAGTTGGAACTAACTCATAGCTGGACCCTCTAGCCAGTTTTCAGAGGCAATAAATTGCATAGGAGGAGATGGTCTCACCTTCTTCCAAAGAGAAGCCCAGTGGATTCAAACTATGTGCCTTTGGGCTGTCAGCACAACTCAGTAAGACTGTATTTAAATTGTGACACCAATGTAACATAGATTTTTAAATTAAATGTCTTTAATGTTTATATATGTAAAGCTGGTTTACCTATAGCTTTGTTGTTAATATATTAAATGCTTTAAAATACTAAAAGTTCCATGGAATTTAGTATCTCACTCAGGAAGATGAAAGAAAGAGGGAAAGCTGTCAAACTTTTTCTACACTTAAAATAATAATCACTTTGGCCAACTGCAACTCTCTCTCTCTCACTGTGAGCCGTACCCAAGCACTCCTCTATGGACTTCCGCAGCACAGTCTGGACAATCTCCTCAAATTCTGCATTGCTAAGACTTGTTCTTTCCTGCAGAGACAAGGACAGGAGAATTAAACTGCTTATCTTTCTTTCCATAGTTTCCTCTCAGACCAATCAGGAAAATAGCCATTAGACAAACAGGGAAATTCACAAGATTTGGAGTATGAAATTCCATAAATGAGCCTAGATTCCCTTTACTAGGGAATGAAGAAGTCAAAAGGAAAATACTTGTAAAGCCTCTATCCACTTCTACCCCCACCTCGACCTTTACCTCCCCATTTTTTTTTTATTTGTCTAGCTCAGGTACAGAGTGGGCAAAGAAAGATTGTCCTAGTAGAATCCATCAATGTTATTGATACCTTTTCTGCTTTCTTCTCTGAGTGCTTGTGTAAGTTTTTTCCTTTCTTATTTTGGCCACCGACTGGGCCATTCTCTGTTGTTGCTTTTTCATTCTTCTCTAACTTGGCCTTTGACAGACTTGGCATGTTTTCTCTCTCTGGGGAAGTATTCTCCAGAGGGTCTTCCTTTAGTGAGTTAGGGCTAGCAGGCATCAATCCATGCACTTTTTGTGTAGGTGGAGCAAAACGTCTCTTTGGTCTTTTCCCACATTCTGCAATAAATTCAATCATCAAGCAGAATTTATAAAACATAGAATCTAGTGTTGATATTACCTAACATTGTCTATTGAGTGGTCATAGGAGAATTATCTGGATAGACTAACAAATTCAGATTTCTATGCCTTTCGTTTCCTCCTTCCCTCTCCCTCCTCAGCCCTAAGAGTCTGATATAGTCTGGAAAAAGGTCCACTAATCTGTAATTTTATCAGGCTATGTAGATATTTCTGGTACACTCTCAGGTTTGGGAACCACTGAGTAATAAACATAAGTATACAGAAGGTGAATTTTTCAAATGCAAATGTGAAATTTTTTAATTTACTGCTTTTAACTTTGGATAAAATGTTCTAGAGTACTGGATTAATAAATATATATATAATTTTTAAATAAAATTAGAGATAGTAAAATTTCTACTCTTGAGATTCCTTCTGCCTTTCCCTTTAGTTAAAATCTACAAATTATTCACAACTCAGCTCTTATGCCACCTCCTCCATGAAAACTACACTGATCCTCCCAAGTATAAGTAATATCTCTTTCACCTGAGCTTTCACAGTACTTTGTAGTGCCACTGCAGCATTTACCACACTCACATTTATGGTCTGTTGTTGTTGTTGTTAAGTGCTGTCGAGTCATAGCGACCCTATGAACGAAAGACCTGGACACTTGTATAACTTTCATCGTTTCTCCAGGTTTCGTGAGGCAAGCTATTTTGGAAGTGGATGCCACTCCTGCTTCCAAGCTTGTTTGAATCGGGGAGCTCCACCAAACGCTGTCCACCATGGGAAACCATTCTTGCATTTGACGTATCAGTGTCACAGTGTTCAGCTTCACAGCCACCACGAGTTACCTCTGTCCATTTTTGGTCTACATATATAATTATATTTTCTCTCCCTACTAAACCATGTATTCCATGAGCAGAAGAGCGTCTAAGGCATATTTCCACTGTTCAAAATATCTAACAAGATTATTTTAACAGTGTGGACATAAAAACATATGAACTAGGTTGCCCTTTTGCAGTAAAGGTTCCCTCAGGATCAAGTGCTGATAAAGAGGAGGAAAATCAGAGAAATGAACTCTTGACTCACCTTTATTTTGCAGTGTTGTCATCCTTCAACTCTGAGGCTACCTTCCTTTGCCTCTGAAAGAAATGAATTGCTAAAACTGACTACATGTAATACAAACTTTCTTCTCCCCCACTGAGTTCTTGAGCTTAGATAGCCTTGCCTGGGATCCTACATTTTTGTGTTTCTAGTGACATAGAGAATTGCATTGCTAATCCAAAGGCCATACCTCTCTGACAGCTCAAATCTACCAATGACTCCTCTTAAGAAGGGCGATAACCTCTATGTCTTTTACAGCCTTGGAAATCCAACGGAGGGTCAGATAAGAGCCAGTACTGACTAGTATAGCAATGCACTAGAGTGAGCCCAGGTAGACTAGATTTCTACTTCTTCAGTACTGAAAACAAGTTACTATTTTTTAAAAAATTAGTAATGATATTTAATATTTTAAATGTCTAGAACTATTTCCATAGTGAGAGAGGCACTTAGGAGTATGTGGAAGGACTCAGCAGGTAACATTTGATCCATTGCATTGGATAAATCTACTGTCCAGTCTCTCTTTAAAGTGCTAAAGAGCAAGGATGCCACTTTTAATACGAAGGTGTGCCTGACCCAAGTTCTGGTAGTTTCAATAATCTCTAATGCATGTGAAAGTTGGAAAATTAAGGGGAGCTCTGGTGGCCTAATGGCAAGAAACTGCAACTACAATCCCAGAGGTGCACGGTTCAAATCCACCAGATGCTCTGCCGGGGAAGGAGGGGCCATCTCCTCCTGTACCAGTCAGATCTGATTTGACGGTACACGCACACAAAAATAATAAAATAAAATAAAAAAAAGAAAATTACTTAAAAAACAAAACAACTTATGCATTTGAATTATGATGTTGGCAAAGGTTACCGAATATCCCACGGAAAGTGAAAAAAACAAATCTGTCTTGCTTTGGGCATGCTGTCAGGATGTACCAGTCCTGGAAAAAGACATCATGTTGGGGGAAGTAAAGGGTTAGTGAAGGAGAGGAAGATGCTGACCCTCGAGGAGATAGAATGATACAGTAACTGCAACAGCGGGCTTGAGTTAGAGATTGTAGGGATGATGCAGGATTGCTAGGAAGATGCCATACGGGGCAAGAAAGCAAAGTTACAGCAAGTTAACTGCTCCCTGATGGAAATTCATAATCTACCAATGGGAAAAGAAGAAACATCCTAGGAAAGCGACTTTCCCTAATTCAGGCATGCACAAAGCATGGGGAAGACTGGGGAAAAGTAGCTGAAGACTGAGTTGTAATAGAAATATAATAGATTAACATTATGGTTTTGCTCCCCCCTTAAAGGTGGACAAAAACAAATTATGGAGGAAAAGGTACAAAAGACCCAGATCTAGAGCATGATCTTTGGACTCTAACTTACATTAAATTGGACAATATCAGGACATTACCTCATGCTGCAGAGACTATGATGTTGTTGTTGTTGTTGTTATGTGCTGTCCAGTCAGTCACCTGTGACTCATAGCGACCCTATGTACAACAGCCCTAAACCCTGCTCTATCCTGTGCCAATCTTATTGTCTCTGACACACCTACCCAGTCACTGAATCAATCCATTTTATCGAGGGTCCTCCTCTCCTGCGTTGTCCCTCCACCCCTTTCTAAGAACCAGTCCCTCCTTGCAACATGTCCAAAGTATGTCAGACAAAGCTTTAGAATTCTTGCCTCCAAGGAGCAGCCTGGCTTCACCCTCTCCAGGACAAACTTGTTTGTTCTCTTAGCAGTCCATGGTGTATACAATACTCTTCTCTAGCACCACAGCTCAAAGCATCAATTCTCCTATCATCCTTAGTCACTGTTCAGCTCTCTGATGCATAGCAAGTAATTGCAAAGACCATGGCCTAGAACAAGCACACCTTAGTCTCCAGACTGACATCATTGCTCTTCGGTACTTTGGAGAGGTCTCAGAGGGTTCTATCTATCTTTGGGGGATTCTATCCATTGATAGTAAAAATAAAATCCAATGTCAGTCTAGATACAAAGGTGTGCCTAATCCAGGCCATGGTCTTCTCAATTACTTGTTATGCTTCAGGGAGTTGGACAATGACTAAGGATGACAGAAGAATAGATGTCTTCGAGTTGTGGTGCTGGAGAAGAGTCCATGGACTGCTAAGAAAACAAATAGGTCTTGGAGAAGGTGAAAGCAAGTCTCTCTTTGGAGGATAGGATTTTGAAGCTCCGCCTCACTTACTTTGGGCACGTGGCCAGGAGAGATCAATCCTTGAAGAAGGACATCATGCTCAGAAGGGTGGACAGACAGCACAGGAGAGGGAGACTCCGGATGAGATGGATTGATACAGTAACTGGGCAATGGGGGTTGGTGTGTCGGAATTAGGGAGAGTGGTTCAGGACAGGGAAGGGTTAAGAGCCGCTGTACTAGGGTCGCTATACATTGCAGGCAACTAAGTGGCACATAACATTCACTGACAGTTTCGGAAGCAAAAGTGGCATTCACTTCCTAAATAACATACCTCCGAAAATGCTATGAACTTTGATAAATGTCGATAGTTGTAGTGGGGTTTCAGGCTTTTTGTTCATAGGGTCGCTATGAGTCATGCTCGACTCAAAGGCAATCAACACCAACAACAACAACCTAAGAAAAGCTCCATTAGTGGAGTACTGGTGGCCTAGGAGGAAAGAGCTAACTGAAAGGCAAAAAGTTCGAAAATCCACCAGCTGCTCTGAGGGAGAAGGATGGGCAATTTCCTCATGTGCCCTTTACAGCCTCTGAAAACTGGAGGAGGGTCAGCTATGAGTCACTTCTAACTCTAAGGCACCTAATAACAACAGAAAAGAATCTCTCTTCCCTGGTGAGTAGCTCACTCTTTCTTAAAAAGAAAGTGTCTGTGCCTTAATAAACTTGCTGCCTTGGTCTCACCCATTCTCTTCCTTGGAAAATGTTTATGCTTTAACAAATTTACCACCTTGCTGACACTTAAAAATCATCCTCACTCTTCATTGCTTTCTCTGCTGGGTTATTTTCTCTAATCCACACACAGTAGTAACATTAATTCTTTAGTGAGTTGCCTGACAGGTTGAGGTCCAATGACCATCCCTCCAGGGATGGGAGCTGTTGTTCACAGGGTCACTATGAGTCAGCACTGACACAATGACAATCAACAACAATAAAAACTAAAGAGTGTGATATATAGCCACACATGATGGCAAGCTAGCTCTGCAGCTAAAATAGCAGAAAACACAATACTCTGGATAATTCTGGAACTCTGAATCTAAAAGCTAGAATCTAAGAAGTACTTCAAACACTGGCCGAAAGAAAAAACTTAAATAAAAAGTCAAATAATGAGACAGAGGAAACAGAATTGGAAAGTGTGGTTCAGCCATCTTGAACAGCAATCTGGCTGGCCAGCTGTCTGATGACAAGAAATGTGTAATCTCCTCCCTTGTTCCCCATACCCTCCCAGAGACAGGGGCGTGATCTACCAGAGAGAAAATAATCTATCACAGTGATCGTTCTAATGCGAGACTTATACTTGGACCAGGAGGCAGTCGTCAGAACAGAGCAAGGGAACACTGCATGGTTCAAAATTGGGAAGGGCGTAC